GGCGGGGCAAAGAGAGGGGGCGGGGCAGCCACATAAGCGGACTTTGCATTTTAGCGCTCTGACATGCGAGCCGGTCGCGCGGCGTTGCCGTTCCGAAATCTGCTTCATTGTTTACTTATCGGGAACGGTCCAACTTCTTCTTCTTCTAGAATCGTTATTTGTTTATTTGTAGAATTTGTTACTTTGTTTGTTACATTGTGTCGCATAACAATCTGTTGTTGTGGTGTGTCAGTGAAGCCGAACTCCGGGCAGGAGGCCGAACACACAATTGAAATGTTCAGCATGGGGCTCTGGGCCTGCCAGAGGATTTCCGCCTCTGTCTAGCGGCAGCGCCAGGGGTAGGCAGCCTCGGCTCTCCAGCTGTGCTGAAACTACAAATCCCATCATGCTTCTGCCTCTGGGAGTCACGCCTGCGGCTTGCAATGCCTTATGGGATGTGTAGTTTCAGCACAGCTGGAGAGGCGAGGTTGCCTAGCCCCTGGTCTAGCCGGTATTGTGATCCGGGTACCCTTCTCAGCTGCACCCCTGGACCACTATTACAGTTATGCAGCACAGCTTGGTTAAAGGCACGCCCCCCCAGCTTGCTGATTGGATGGTGTGGTAGCAGCACGGTTATCACTCTGCCCTCTCCTTCTGTCAGCACATGTGCACTGCAGTAGAGCCTGGTTGGAGCTCTGACCTCTGCAGTGCTGCTGTGCAGGTCATCGCAGGAAGCTGATACTGAGAAGCAATCGGGTACCTGTACTTGCTGCATCCAGAATACACTAGCTGCTTTGCATTTCTGCATCAGTTGGAGTTTGATGTCAATATCCACCTGGAGTTTGGCTTTAACTGGGTCCATCTCTGATTATATCCAGCGTCTGTTACTTGTACACTCCATTTAAAGCGCATTACTGTCTTAAATATGCATCAGTTATGTAGACCCTGAAGCTGGTCACTTCCATTCCACTATTCATACTGTGTCTGTGATGCCCCGGCATTGCCACCTTCGGAGGGGAGGTGTGTTAGAACTGCAGAACACCTCCCCTCTCCTCATCTGCATAACATGAGGGTGGTGTTCTGTAGCTCACAGCAGGGCTGGGTTTACATACACTCTATGGTGACTGTGTGTCACCCTCCATATAAAATCAGCCCCCCCAGATTGTACTGTATGTGGCCAGATTTAGGATCTTCCTGTAACTATAAACCCTCAGAAGTGGCCCCCTAATGATAAAATGGCCCCGTCACCCCGTCGGTTTATGATTTACGTGGGTCAGGACGCCAAAAACTGATATTTCGGTTATGTTTGGATGGCGGTAGGTTGTGGCACACACTGCCATATATAGGGACAGCCGAATCTACCAACCAAACATACCCCCCCACCCCCCACCCATCCATTAAAGTCAATGGAGTCTTCCCCCACTGGCTGCATCAAGAATCCACCTTCCTGTCAGCTAGACCGGCCCCTGCAGCCCCTTCTCCCCCCGGGCTTCACCCCTGCTGATGTCATCACATCTAATGCCGGTCCATTCACCTGCATTAGATGCGAGGACGTTGAGGGACATACCACAGTGGAGTGGAGGGGGGTGAGAGGAAAGCTCTGACTTCTGCAGGACCGAGGATCAGGTGAGTCTGTAGTCCGGCCCCTAGCTAAAATCAAGCCGCTAAGTCTTCAAGTGTTGGGGTGCTCCCACCGCAAGGGTTCATTTTTTAATAGGTGGAGTTCCTCTTGAATGCAACGCACCGTAACGCGCGACTCACCGCACAAACGTGAATGGGCCCTCGGCATTTATGAGGGCCCATATACATATTTCGGAGAGCCCATAGGCCCCTAGGTAAGAAAATGATTCAAAATTTGAAAAAAAAATCCAAATATGACCCAACTGTCACTTTTTAAGAAAAAAAGAAAGTCAATGTGGGTGTGGCCTGGTTAAGCTCCACAGTCCAGGGGTGTGACAGGTTCAGGATAGGAAGGAGTTAACTGAGAAGGGGGGGGGAGGTAATATCAGTTTTTGGTGGACTTTCCCTTTAAATCCATTTAGAAATTCCGAATAAGAAACAAACGAATAAAGTTATTTTACGTTGTGAACATTTCCGGAAGAATCCGATGTTTCCAATATTTGTACAATTGTGCCAATTTTAGATTTTCCTCATAAAAAGGAAAATGGAAGGAGGAATTCCTTCCGGGACCCGGAATGAACCATTTCCAGAGATTTGGGGACCAGCGTTGCGCCTCCCGATTCCCCCCCGCGAGGTCGCCGCCATGAAACTTTCTTTTTTTTTTTGTGCTTTTCTTGTGTTCTTTGTATTATGTAGAGGAAACGGTATTGATGTCTCTTTTTTTTACTTTTAGACCTTTGGAAATGGTATTGGAGGCCTTGCAGTATTCTTAGGGTCGGATGTAGTCTTAGCTGATATTGAATTTTGTGCTTTTTACGTTTTCTCTTTTTTTCATGCCCCC